AATTAAATGTATATCCTTTTTTTCCTACAAATAGAGCTTACTTTCGGTGGTATTTGATTGCCTCTGTGTCTTTTATTTTTTGCGCTATAAACAATAGAGCAATTGGCCAACAATTTTGAAAGAAAAAAATGTTGTTGACTTTTTACTATGAAACATATTCAGTAAAAAAAATATCAAATTTCATGATAAATTTAGGCCAAAATGTATTCTACGACATGTCTTTGCTAAAAAAAGAATCCCAAATACATGTAAATTAATTGGTTAACATGAAAGTTATAGCATCTACAAATGGCGGTATATATACTGGAATTTCTTTTTTCATACTAGTAATGGTGGCGATCAGCAACTTATAGCAAGACTGCTGCGGGCATTCTGAAACTGACTAACTGCCACTGACATCCCCAATGACACTAATACAGTGATCAGTTCTAATAAAAAACACTGACACTGTACTAATGACACTGGGCAAGAAGAGGTTAACATCTGGGGCGATCAAAGGGTTAACTGTATGCTGTTTTACTAGGGAAACATGCTGCTGTGTATTTCTCTGCTGTGCAAAGAAATACATAGGAGCATGTTACTGCTGGCAGGAGAGAGACCTGTGTTGTTTACACACAGGTCTCTCCCCGGTCACTGTTCCTTGGCAATTACCAGGAGCCAGCAGGGAATCTCCGGCTGGAACCCGATGATCTACATCTGTAGACACCAATAGCAGCGCGAGTAGGGTGGCGCGCGCATGTGCGCCCCCTACCCGGAGATGCGAAATCACGTATATATATGTGTGATTTTGCAAAACCTGCAGCCCTGTAGCAGTAGTTCTGCTATAGGGTGGCGGGGAAGCAGTTAAAGTTATATGTGGACACTTTGGGGGGAATTTACTAAAACTGGTGCACCCAGAATCTAGTGCAGCTGTGCATAATAATCAAGCAGCTTCCAGGTTTATTGTCAAAGCTTAAGCCCTGGTTCACACTGGATGCGACTTGGTATGCGATTTGCATGCCCTGCGACTTGCAAATTGCATGCCAAGTCGCACCCTATTGTCCGCAATTGGAACGGTCATATTGGTGCGGTTCTGACTTGTTCGGAGCCGCACCGATTTCAAAAGTAGTACATGCACTACTTTTGGTGCGATTTGCATAGATATCTGTATCAGATGTCTTGCAAATCGTATCTGAAATCGGCGCTTCCCCCGACTTTGAGATCGTGTGACTTCACTGTAAGTCACACAATTTCAAAGTTGGGCTTGATGTGAACAGAGGATAATTGAACAAGCTAATTGCTTACTATGCACAGCTGCACCAGTTTTACTAATATTACTAATATTATTTAGTCTGTGTGAAAGTTGGAGAGTCAACAAACTATGGTATATACAGTATATTTGAAAATTGATAAATCCTGATGTACTGACAGCCTATCTTATTTCTTGAAGCCCTAAAATGCCAGGACAGTATAAATCTCCCCCAAATGACCCCTTTATGTAAAGCCCATGGATTTATAATGTATTGGTTAACATTAGTAAGGTAATGCCCTTGCACAGACAAGCACAGCACCTCATTAACTTTTGTTATAGTGTATTTGTTGCATGTTCTTTGTTGTGTCCTTTCTCACCTGTTAGTGTTTTCTGTACTCTAAGCTCTGTGTTTTGCAGAGTGGTTTGTAAGGTGAACTGTGCATCATAAAAAGTAACATATATGAGCAAATACCGAAAAGAAAATTTACTCTGAACACTAACCAATAAAGCAAATGTGTTGTGTCTTAGTATATAGTTTCTGTGTTCATTATGTTCAGAATTAAAAAATAAAATATTTTTTTTTCAAGTCTGGTACATATAAAATATCGAATATTAAGGCTTTGTATTGTCATATGAAACCAGTAGGTGGCTCTCTTAGCATTTTTTTCACATTTTCACCAGGTTGTTCTTTGCTGCTTTGTTATAAAAGCCTGGGGTTTATAGCACAATAGCTCCAGCTGTGTTTTACTGACACGAGTGAGTTTTGCTTATCGATATTCATGATATTAATTTTGTTGACCTCTAGCCCTGAGGAAGAGGATACATACCCTTTAAATGCAGTTGCATCTTAATTTTTACCTGCAATAAAACTTTTTTAATTACATTTTTTTTTATTCCACAATTAGTCCATTTCTCTTTTATTCCATATCACACTTATCAATGCTTGGCTGTAGACAAGTGCAATTAATTTAGTTACAAATCAAAATTCAGATGAAAATTGCGTGATTCAGAGATTTGAATCTGCGAAACACAATAGTAACAAATTTCAGCTAATCCAAAAACAAGTAGTTCATTCTTATTCATTTGTTTCATTCGGGTGACATGATGCAATAGGTTGGTTTTGTTAAAGTGTTACTAAACCCAGGACCCTGCATGCACTATATCTGGTCTCCCACAGTACACAGAACATGGAAATGCAATTATTTTAGTAAATATAAACTGCTAAATACCTTTTCTCATCAGCAGTTAGAACAGTTTTGTGACTTCTGCAGAACACTAGTTAAAGCTTGTAGGAGGAGTTTTCATTCTGCTCTAGGAGGATGTGAAACCCCTGACCTCTTTTTGGACAGTGCTGATAGGCCCTGTGCTGATCACATGCATTCTCCCAAAAAAAAAAAAATCGCACCGCAAAGTATTGGTACTCGGCGATTAAAAAAAGGGTATCAGTGCATCCCTAAGTTTTCATTGCTGGAAACATGCTGCTGATGGAAATTATAATGAAAATATTTTCATTGACAACATTAACACTGGCAGGAGCACCAAGGATTTAACAGGAAAGCAATATAAAGAGAAGAGGATACATTTTCATACAAGAAAATGGTACAGCAGGCCAGGGGCGGACTGAACTCTCGGGCACTGTCCGTGGGCCCGGGGTCAGTAGGGGGCCCCATGAAATGCCCCTGGTACTTTTTATAGGTTTTTTTGGGTGTGCTTTGAGTGTGGGCAAGGACACAGGGGCCTCATGATCCCATATTGCTCGGGGGCCCCATGAGTTGTCAATCCGCCCCTGCAGCAGGCACATATCAGGATTTTGAAATGTTGGGTTTACATATTATTTAAGGCCAGCATACCGAAACATGCATAATGTGCTGTATCGCATTGTGGTGTACCACATCGGAAAAAGGGTCATGTTTATTAATTGGTCTGTTGAGGTGAGTTGGCATCCAAACTAAAATGAGTGGGCTACCTTAGTGCAGCATGCAAGTACTGTGCTGATGTGAATGGACCTTAAGGGATTAATTGCTTGTTTTGCCTATGGTCTACCATAGTAAAATAAAATCTGTTTTGTCTGGAGTTGGACATTATATCATGTGCCAGTAAAGTTGCTATAATAATATACTGGATCTGCAGCAATTTACTACTGTACTACAGTAAAATAATATGACAAGTGTAATGGAGTCCATGAAAAAAAATGCTAAAGTTAATTAGGGGTTGGGTTGTTTTATCTGTAGTGAACATGGCGCCAACATGAACCAAAATTGTTTTCCACCTCTGATTATTCCACAACCACAGCATGAAAACCATTATGTAAGCTTTACATTATAGCAATTTCTGACATTGCCCTTATATTTTTATTTACATATTATTTAATATTTTGATTTTTAATATTTAATATTTTGATTTTACAAAGATTTGTTTATTAACAACATAGTTCATTAACAATACAGGCTCTGCTTACTGCTCTGCAGTACAACTCAGTGGTTGGGCTTTACTGCTCCTTCTCATAATGAATGAATCATCCAACTCATTGCAAACAGTGCGCTCCCTGTGTTGCTGATATTTAACTAATCCATGGTGCCCAGGGGAGTAACTACAGGGGGGCAAATGCAACCTGACCCATGCTCCAGGGGGCCCATGCTGCCCCCTGTACACCTGGATAGGAGGGGTGGCGGGGCAGTATATAGAAGAAACAATCCCCTCCATTTTCCGCTTGCAGCTGTTTAAAGCCTGTTTCTCCTCTTCTTCCTCCCACAGGCATTCTGCAGCTGCAGGAGGAAAATGGATGGTATAAGTTCATCTATTTGCCACCCTTCTGTCCCTAATATTCAGCTTTCTCTTCCCCCTGGATGTTTCAGGATGGAGAGCAGGGAAGGGGCCAGTGAATATGTAATTTACCGGCCCATTCCTTGTCTGAATGGACAGTCATTGATCTGTAATTTGTGTTTACTATGCTTTAGTTTGTGAATGAATGGGAATCTCTGTATAGAGCTATTCCTGTCCATTCATTCTGTTCTTCTGAGGCTGCAGATATGGAGATTGAGGGCTGTGTCCTCAATCTCCTTTTTCTGTCTCAATGATGAAACATCAGAGTTCTGTTTAGACCCCTGATATTTTATCAAAGCCCCCCAACAGGGCACCTAAAAAATTGTAAAAAATAATGAAAAAATTTTGAATTAAAAATCTACTTTCATCAGTGGTGGAATTACTAGGGTTGCAAAGGTCACACTTGCGTCCGGGCCCTGGCGTTCTGCCACCGGACTCGGAGGGAAGGGTCCTGGTCTTGGAGGGAAGGGCCTTGGCAGGGGGACCTTTCCTGGTTTCTTGCACCAAGGCCCTGCTGGTTCTAGCTAGGCATCTGCTGTTGGCTCTAATGGTTAATCCACAAATATTTAAATAATCTCTTTTAATATGATTAAGGATAAGCCATATTCAGAGTTTACATTTCCTTAACAATCTGGTGAAAATTTGGAAACTTGTAAAATTTTCACCATTCTGGACAGATGCTTTGGAGTCAATGTTGAATTAGAAATTTAAGTGGCATGGGGTGTTTTTTTAAGGGTGCCATGGGAATTAAATACAAAGAAAAGCAACAGCAAATAAATGAATGAAATAAACTAAACTACCAAAAATATACACTCAACCTATCCCCCTAAAAAAAAAAAAATATATATGTCCTCACTGAAACAATTCTATCTTCATTGTCATTTTGATATCTTGTAAACAGTGATACCTTTTTATTGTATCTTTCTTTTCAGAAACATTACCCAGAATGTGTGCAAAATCTTTGCTCTTGGTATTTGGGATCATCCTGAGTCTCGCCCATCTCTCTTCCTGTCAGACCTGGGAAAAGTTTAAGAAGAAGCACATTGTAGACACACAGAGCATCAACTGTGACCATGTCATGAACAACAGTCTATTCATAGTATCCGGTCACTGCAAGAAACTGAACACTTTTATCGTTTCACAGGCAGCCACTGTGCAGGCCATTTGTAGCAGTGTACCAGGCCATAGCAATGTATCAAGTAGCACAAGATTTCAGCTCATCAATTGCATTCGTAGATCCAATGTAACCCCCCTTGTCCATATAACTCTAAAGGGGAAAGTAATGTGATATGTGTAACATGTGAGAGAAGACTTCCTGTTCATTTTGTCAAAGTAGGAAGATGTTAACCATCTCAATACCAGCATGTTACACTCTTGCTTTTTTTAGTTTTCAGTGCTGTGATAGGTTGAATGACAATTACTTGATCACACATTACTGTACCCAAAATTAATTATAATTTTTATGAAACAGATGGAGTTTTTTCTTGGTGGTATTTAGGTACCACTAGTTTTTGTTTTGTTTGCTTTTTTCATTTTTTTTAGTATATAAAAAAAAGACTGAAAATGTTGAAATGCAAACTGTTTCTCTTAGGCTCTATTATAAAACATATCAAATAAATAATTGATCTTCATGCTTAGATGTATTCTGCTACATTCCTTTGGGAAAAAAAGAGTTTATATTATTTAGTCTGTTTATGTGTCAGCTGATTCACTAAAAACAATATGTTCCCTGCTAACCTACCCTGCCTCTGGCTTGCCTCAATGGTGCTCAAAGTGAGAAAAGGCAAAGAAAAAAAAAAAAAGGATACAAAAGCAACGAGAGATCCTTCTAAGAGTAGGGTTCGGATACAGGGCTGTCTTAATAGGATCATGGGCCCCTGGGCAAAGTAATGCACCGGGGCCCCTACCGGTCTGCTCCAATTTACACACCTACTCTCAGGAATTAAAGTATAAATAGCTGATAGAATTAAAATAAATTATTTGTACTTTCAATAAAATTGATTTTAAACAATAAGAAAACATGCCATAAATAGAAGACTAATCAACACAAAGGGCACAGTATGGGGGGAGGCAGAAGGGCTCAGTACAGGGAAAAGGGATCAGGAGGGCCCAATACGGGATCAGGTGGACACAGTACAGGTTCTGGGACACTGCCTGGGATACGCCCATCACAGGACAGCTGAATAAAAAGTGTGACTGTCCCAGCAAACCTGGGACATTTGGAAAATATGATGCATGGGTCCCCATGCACTTGAGGCCCCTGGGCAGTGCTCAGATGTGCCCATGCATTAAGATGGTCCTGTTCAGATGTACAATAATGGAAAGTATACCAAAAAGTGTGGTAAGTATATATTCACATTCATAAAATTTTCTCAATACCATTCCTAGGGTCAAGCAACCCATTTAAGCACATGTGGAGAAAATGACTGCCTCCATGCCGAGTGTGGATAGTCGCACTTGATGCTCATCAGGGTTTTCCAGAGTTTCCTGCACTATACTAGGACTGCACTATACTATCATATCTGGTGAACAGTTGTAAAGTGGATGAGGCCCCAAAAATGGAACCAATGTGTGGTCAGCAGAGGCACCCCTTAAATAAACACATACTTCCACGTGGATTATTCAAAAAGATCAGTATTTACTGATCATAGGGACAGGTGAAAACACATGACATATGGGGATCATTAGCTTGGTGGTGGATGCAGAGGTGTAACTAGAACCTTCAGAGCCCAGTGCAAGAAACCATGAGGAGCATCCCTGACTCAAGCCCTTCCCACTGATTCTGGGTCCTTTACTCCTGCCAAGGGGGCCCTTTTTGTGGTCCTGTAGCGTGACACCCTCACTTGTTCTGCAGCAGGCACCCTTCTTGCCCTTACATTAGAGTCTCCCTTTATATCAGAGTTCCTCTATAGAGTACATCAGTGCAAGGGGAAACTCTGTGGACACTGATGTAAAGGGGAAATCTGCAGATCCTGATTTAAGAGGAAACACTGTGGGCCATGATGTAAGGGGAAACGCTGCAGACTCTGGTGTAAGGGGGAACTCTGATGTAAGAGGTTCTCTGGTCACCAGAGCCCTTCCTTACATCAGAGTTCACAAAGTTCCTCTTTACCTCAGAGTCCACAAAGTTTCCTCTTGCACTGTAAGAGTGAACTCTGCTGACTCTGATGTAAGGGGGAATGTTATGAACTTTATATCAGTGTCCCCCTTTACCTTAGGTCTCCATTCCCCGCTTAAATCAGTGACCCCCACAGAGTGACTGACTAACTGCCCCACTGACTCTGTATGGCCTGGCGTTGTCAGACTCTAAGCTCCTGTAATTGCCTGCAGGCTTAGTCTTTGGTCCTCCTTTCCCCCCCCCCCCCCGATCCCCCTTCTTGCAGTCTCTTTAAAATTTGCTGGAAAGGCGTTCCATGACATCACCGCGCACCTGGCCAGCGGCCGGCCCCCCACCCAAGCCCAGCCCAGCCCGAGCCAAGCTCAGCTTGGCTAATCAGCTGAACTCAGCTTAGCTCAGGTGGGGGGGAAGGGGGGAAATCCACTGGTAAGGTGCACAGTGACGTCATGGCTCTTAGCACTTTTCCCATAAATTTGAAATGTGCCCGCAAGGAGGGGGTGCGGGGGGTCGGGCTGATAGAGGAGGCTCATGGACAAGTGTAGTTTTAATGGGCATTTTTCTGCTGTACACAGACATTTGCGGACAGCAGAAAAGTTCCCTTTTTTTACTTACAATACTGCTTGGAGCTTCCCACTGTGGGAGAATGCCAGGGTCAAGTCGCAGCTCTTTGTGACTCTGGTAGTTCTGCTGCTTTCCCTAGTGACACAGTGTAAAACCGGGGTAATGAATTAAAAGGTCTACTCAGTAAAGTATTCTTCCAGTAGAGGTTTGAATCACATGTTTATGAGATAACTCCTTCACAGCCCCCCTCCTCTTAGGCTAGGTTCACATCTCTGGTTGGGGAACATTGGAATATTGTAATGTTTTGTGGCAATGGTTGTTTAACTACAGTATATGCCTTTAGCTTCTAACCCATAGCTAGCTACACATCTGATAAAGTATATTATATCAACAGTTGTTAGGCATGAAGCAGCATGATAGCACCGAGTCAATGAGGAGTCCCTCTAGTGGCTTATCAAAAAATCTGTACATTTATTACAAAATCACACAAGAGCAGATAGGTACAAATACATGGGAGGATGTCACCAGCACACTGAGGATCACCAACATGGGTCAAAAAGTTTTAATGACTGATTACATAGTTGCAGCATATTGGTGATTCTCGGTGTGCTGGTGACATCCTCCCTTGCTGATTCTGTTGAGTTCCAGCCTACGGTCGCTGCAGCACCCACTTATACACAGCCATTTTTAAAAATGATTTCCAGTTAAACACTGTCTGTTAACAGTAAGCCTCCAATGTGTAATGGTTGTTTTCCATGACGTGTATATATAAAGTGTAAGTTCACCTTTTCAGAAATAAATGAAAAGGTGAACTAACGCTGTACACCCTCCCCACCCCCTGGTTCCTGCTGTACTTACCTCCACGTCTGATGAGCTGTCAGTGCCTACAGAGCCGGTGTAGCGTTCTGGGAATATGAAATCCCCGCTGTTCTTCCCCTTCCTTCTGTAGGTCTTCTGGAATGGATCATAGTGATTCAAATTGGTCAGTGTCAACATGGCTTTGACCAATCACAATCGCTTTGATCCATCCAAAAGCCCTACAGAAAGAAGAACTAAACTAACCTTTTAAAGCGTAACTTCTCCCAAAAGGGGAGGTTTCACTTGTTTGTATCCCCCCCTCCTCTTTAACATTTGATACATTTTGGGGGAGGGGAGGTGTGAGTACCTGGTTTTGACAGGTACCCACTCCCACTCCCAGTCAGCTCGCCCCGGCAAACCAAGCTGAAGATTAGTCTCCCCTCCTTCCCCTACAGTCTTCTGGGACACATCACAGGTCCCAGAAGACTGCTGGTCCATTCGCAAAGCACAGTGGGAAACTGGCTGTGAAGATGCAACTAAAAAATTGGCTCAGATGAGGATGGTGCTGGAGTTTTGGACAGGTAAGTGTCCTTATATTAAAAGTCAGCAGCTACAGTATTTGTACAGTATTTTTTATTGGAGTTGCCAGGAATGGAACAGGAATATTGCTGATATCTCTAGATTAGAGTCTGCTGGGAACTGCCTCAATTTCAGCTGAGAGATATACTTTAAGTGGCTTACAGCTCTAGTTGTCCCACCACCACTTCCCCATTCCTCTGTCTTGTGCAACAAGTCAATGTACAGTATTTCATAAGAAACCACACACTTCCCTTATCTAACAATACTAGAAAACTGTTGCTGTCAAGTTGTATATACAATATATACCTCTCTCTCTCTCTATACACACTGCTCAAAAAAAATTAAAGGAACACTTTGAAAACACATCAGATCTCAATAGGGAAAAATATCATGCTGGATATCTATACTGATATGGACTGGGTAATGTGTCAGGAACGTAAGAATGCCCCATCGTTTGATGGAAATTAAAATTATCAACCTACAGAGGACTGAATCCAAAGACACACCAAAAATCAAAGTGAAAAAAATTATGCAGCAGGCTAGTCCATTTTGCTAAAATTTCATTGCAGCAACTCAAAATGGTACTCATTTTGTATGGCCCACACATGCATGTATGCATGCCTGAGAACATCGGAGGAGGGTGTCCTGGTGTATTTCCTCCCAGATCTAGACCAGGGCATCACTGAGCTCCTGGACAGTTTGGCATGCAACCTGGCGGAGTCGGATGGACCGAAACATGATATCCCAGAGGTGTTCTATTGGATGTAGGTCAGGTGAATGGTATCAATTCCTTCATCCTCCAGGAACTGGCTTCATACTCTCGCCACATGAGGCTGGCATTGTCGTGCACCAGGAGGAACCCAGGACCCACTGGACCATCTTAGGGTCTGACAATGGGTCCAAGGATTTCACCCCAATATATAATGGCAGTCAGGGTGCCATTATCTAGCCTGTAGAGATCTGTGCATCCCTCCATGGATATACTTGCCCAGACCATCACTGACCCACTACCAAAACGGTCATGCTGAAAGATGTTACAGGCAGCATAACATTCTCCATGGCTTCTCCAGACCCTTTAGGTGCTGGAACTCAAACCCCCCATCCCCATGCAGGGTTCAGTAGTGTGTTTCATACAGAGTGCAGGGTAAAATAGCGTGTTAAATACAGAATATAGGGTTCAGGAGAAGGTGACATACAGAATGCAAAGTTCAGGAGTGTGCTACTTACCAAAAGCAAGGATTCTAGAGTGTGCTACATACAGAATGCAGGGATCAGAGTGTGCTATGTACAT